AATGAATAATTTTTCTCCATTGTGTCCTATTGAGTATCAACAAAAAAAAAAAAAGGGTAAGAATTCTACTGCAAAAATCAAAAGTCAACAAATAAGCTATACAATATGCCCTAGTCTGATAAGGCCTACCTCTGTCTTTCTTAACATAAGTTGAATCTAAAACGTCTACTCTCCAAACCAAATCATCAGATAGTTGACGTTTTTGTGACCGAACCATGTAAGACGACTCTCTCTAATCTTGTATGCAAGTGGAGCTACACCAACCCCTTCACAGATATATCATTTCACATTTTGTCTCTGTGTCAAATTAAATGTTGATCGTCTTATGGAATTTATTTTTGATTGCTTTTGTAAATCCATTAAGTTTCTATTCAGCTATTTGTGTTTTGTTTCAAAATTGCCATGACGAACATGTGTAAGAAGAGTGATTAGTAAAGGAACGAAATGATGAAATAAAAATTAAAATGTTGTGTAGCTTTTAAAACAATTATAATTATGTACTTGTATATGAGGCTGTCATCTATACATCGTGTGTGCGTGTGTGTTTCGGGTGGGTCGTGGTGGGGTTGTTGTGCAGCATCTTACCATCATTTTAGAACTATGGTTTCCTGGATTCAAATTTCTGAAGTCGATAAGGGTGTATTTATTTATGGTAAACATTACTTTTTAGCTTTGACCAAGACTTAAGTATTTTGAATGGTCATTCTAATGATTTGAAAGAAATTATCTTCTACTTTGGCAAATACTGCATGCATCAAGGGCAAAAGTTTGTTTGCTCTTCATGAAGAAATGAACCTGGTTATTTTTTGGTTTTTTTGATTAGTGAACTCATATTTGATAAAAAATTATGTGAGGTTCATCTTTGTACTCATGATTTATAGCTTTTTTAAACTTCCCCATATGGATGATATTACAACCAATATTTTCTTTGCACAAAATTTAGTTGTTATTGATGAAAAAATAAAGTTGTTTCTTTGATGGCACTACTTTACGGCCTTTAACTTTTGGCACCTAATTTATTCAATTTTTAACTTAGAGAATCTCTCTTAATATAGAAATATGAGTTCTTCATATTTAAGTTTAATAACCGCTTTTTTCAACAATATTCCTTATTGAAAATATTATCAAAGCTATGATTGCATGGCTTAGATCATTGTCATTTTTTTCGATTTATCAAATTTGTAAACCATTAGATTCTCTTAGAATCCTGACTTATGTGGATGGTGTTATTGCCTTTTTTTCTCGGAGCTTCAATCATTTTATTTATCTGTAAAGAGTGTTAACTTGTTTTGCTTTTAAAGTCACCTCTCATATGAGTAGTGGTTTGGATAATGTAATCAACTGAGCATCTGAATAATATAAGTGGAATCTATGAGATATGGAATTCTAATAATACTATTTTATATAGTATGGTTCATGCATGAAATAGTCAGCTTTGGTTCAGCACATTGTTTAGCATTGTGCAATATAAGACTTGCCTCAAAAAAAAAAAATTTTTTTTTTTTAAAATTTGCAATAAGGCTTATGCCTTATATAATCAGTTCTATTGTTTTTAAATTTGCAATGAGGCTTATGCCTTATATAATCAGTTCTATTGTTTTTCTTAAACTGAATATAAGTAAAATAACCAAATAAATGTTTTTGATTTACCTATATAATGCAAAATTGATGTTTAATTGAAGTTTTTATCAATATAATCTATAGTTTAAAGCCAAATAAATATCCTTATCAATTAGTATTGATTAAATAAAAAATGATTGAGATTTAAGATAACGAGGAATGAAAATATGGTTATAATGATGATAAGATTAAAATAAATTGTTATGCTCATGATTCTAATGAAGGCTCATTTAGTGATGTAGATTTTTAAATTTAAAATTTTGTCCTTAGTGTTTTATTATGTTATTACTTCAATGATTGATAGTATGAATGTGAGAATCTGATTGTATCAAGCTTGTTTTGAATTGTTATATTAATGTCTTATTTTGATATTTGTATATATATATTTTTTAATGATTTGATATTTGGATGTTAATATGTATTTGGAATAGTTCATAATTTTTATCATATTTGGATGTTAATGAGTTACATTTTAACCTTTTAATAGGTTAGGACGTTAATATATTATTTTTTATCATCTATTTTGAGCTTAGTACATAATTTTAGATTTGTACAATTTGTTGATTTTGAGGCTTACACTTCAAAATGCTTGAGGCTTACATTTCTTCACATTGAAAAAAAAATGACTAACCAGCTGTGCAATTTTAATGTTTGTTCTTCAAATATGATCGACTTGTATATTAGAGGTCAATAAAAGGAGATACTTTTATATTACATTCATGTTCTTTCAAATCAAGTTGTCAATTACTTTCTCAATTCTTATTATTCTTGGTGCACATTGTCCTTTTAATTGGAACTTGGTGACAGCTTTATATTGTTGTTTATTTCTTATTTTGTTTGTTATTTTTTACTCTTTTGAAGGTGTTAGAAGGTGTTATCAAGTACCGGTGGAATGCCTTGCCAACTGAACAGCGAGATGGTATAAAAAACTACATATCGGATCTCATTGTCCAAGTGAGATTTTTATTATCTCTAACTTATGTCAGCTTTGAAAATTTTATGATTTTCCTTTTTAATGCTAACCCCTCTTTCACCCATTGTTGCTCTTTGTTTAATAGCTTTCAAGTAATGAAGTTTCTTATCGTCGAGAGAAACTGTATGTTAACAAACTTAACATCATACTTGTTCAGGTAACCTCAAAATCTAAGTTTTGACTACAGTTGTTCTTCACGTTGCGTAGTTTTCATGTTCTTTAGTTCCTTTTTATTGTATTTGTGAAAATAACAGGTTCTTAAACACGAGTGGCCAGCTAGATGGCAGTCATTTATTCCTGATTTGGTTACAGCTGCCAAAAGTAGTGAAACAATCTGTGAGAATTGTATGGCTATATTAAAGGTATTTTTATCGGTCTCCTCTTCATGTATGATTGGAGCTCGATTTAAAAAAAATACTTACATGCCCAATAATAATGCAGCTTCTTAGTGAGGAAGTTTTTGATTTTTCAAGAGGGGAGATGACACAGCAAAAAATTAAGGATCTCAAGCAATCATTGAACAGGTGGACTCTATGATAGTTGCCTATTACTTAATTTTTTCTTTCAAATTTGTCCACCAGGAAGGCCTACTAGCATGAATAGATGGAAATTGTTTACATTATGCAAGGGGCATTCTTTTTGTTTCAAGTGCATTAGTTTTACATTTGTTTTTTCAGCTGAGTAAATTAGCTTGATGTCTTCTTTGCATGGCAGTTGCAAGAATTTCATCAATTTCACATTGTGATTTATATGAATGGCCAACTTCGTCTCTTTTTTGATCTACAAGTCTGAAAATGTATAACATACCAGGGTCTGCTTGAATTTCCCAAGAATGTTGCCAAGTTTTATGCAAATCAAGTGTTCCTAAAAAGAATTGGCTAGTTTCAGCTTTAAGTGACTTCTTCTGAGGTTTTTATCTGTCCTTCTATGAACTGAGACATCTTTTCGATAAGGCTTTAATAGTCCCTTACCATACTGTGATGGAACATCTTATTAAATTATTTGTGGTGACAAATAATGCTCAGTGTCAAATGATTCATTTCATTAATTTTCCGTGATATGGAATTGCCAAAATGTCTTAGCAAATTGAATCATCCATGTAATGCATGAAAAAATGGCAAGGCCCAGATAATAGGATCCAGGGTGACCGCTGTGTAGAGTTGAATAGTGATCCAAATGTTGATGACCTTAGAGTACTAGAAAGATACGCCCAAAACTGAGGATATGTCTATTTTGCGTTGATATGCTTATCATTTTTTATCTTTATGCACCACTATTTTTGTGTGTATTGCCTATTGTTTTATTTGTGCTACGTTTAAAAATTTCAAACCAAATGAATGCAGCTAGCAGTTCAATGCGTAGTAAGTGATGCTTTGTAGTTTTCATAATTCTAAATAAATGTTGGCTTATCGAATCTTGCTAATAAACACTTTATTGAGCACTTTGTTTTATTGCTACAACTTGAGCATTTTCTTAAGATGTTATTGGTAGTTATATGCGGTCAAAATCAACATAAAAGTTGACATATGCATATAACATATACATATGCATATGTATGTTTTAGTTTGTCATGCACGGACAAAATTTACTGTCATATGCATATCTTCTGTACATGTGCAAATGAATCATCATAGTTGGTGTACTAATATATGATTGTATGTAGATAGAAATAGGCATTGATTTGTATCATTTCATGCATCCATTTCATCCTTTACATGCCATCACTGTTACCGGAAGGTAGTGTTCACTTCGATTCAAACAGTAAAACATGTGCATAGAGAATGCATGTAGCTTAATTGTTAGAATTATCCTTGGTCTAGTATTCTGTACCTGCATAATATCTCAGCCTTTTTCTAGGTATGTATGCTAAATTTTAGGGATCCTTTAGAATCGCTTCCTCTTTTTTTGTTTTTTATTTATGCTTGGTTTATGTTTTGACATGAAATAAACATGTTTGATTTATTAAATATAAGCTTCTTTTAATTTATTGAATATCAAATAAGTTGATTTATGTTGTGGTGCAGTAGTCTCCTATGCGGCAGTTGTGTTGGCTGGCGAGTTGATGACAACTGTGTTCTTGGCACTTGCTATTGACAACGGCTGGCTGTGATGTTTATTTTTAAAACACTCACAACACATTAAAATTATTATGAGCATTTTTCAAAATAGCATTTGTAAAAAAAAGAACAACAAAACTTAAGTGATACTTAAGGCTCTTAGGGGCTGTTTGGCATTCCTTTGGTTTTTTATTTGGTAATTTTTTTAATGCTGTTTTGCTTATGCTTTGATTGGACACAAAATATGTTTGTTAAGTTAAAATAAAATATCGTTGTTTTTGAAAACATTCAAAAAAATCAAAGAGATATTTTGAGTGCCTTTCAAAATATCATGATTTGATTTTTAAACTAAAATAAAAATATGTAAAAAAATATACCAAACAAACATATTTTAAAAAAAAAAGAAAAAAAGAAAAATAAAAAATAAAAAACAAAAGTGATCTCAAACAAGCTCCTTAGCTTTTGACACATATCTAAAATGTTTTCAAACATTCTATCTATACAATTACTGTATATTTATTTTGTTATAATCAACTTTGATTACTGCTTTATTCTTTGTTAAATGCAGGCATTTAGTTATAAGGTGATGTTTTTAGCATGTCAATTCCAATATGAGAAGGCATATTTAGTGCTAAAGCATACTTTTCTAGACCACATCTATGACCTTTGTGTTTCATTAACTTGATTAACTATTCTATTCATTGTTACTTTTGCTGATAAATATTGGAGGCGGTCTCTCGTTCTTGTCATGAAAAGAACAATTACCAATTTATTTTTTTTTAGTCCATCATTTCAATCCCTACTTGCACATCTTGTGATCTGTTCTTGGTTATATAAGATTTAACAAGTCTCTTTAAAATGGACGAATTTCTGCTGTTGTAATAAACAAACTGATTAGTTTCTAATTCTAAAGCCTTTTTTACTTGTTTATGAACAGTGAGTTTCAACTTATTCATGAGTTGTGTTTATATGTGCTGTCGGCATCTCAAAGGACAGAGCTTATACGTGCTACTCTAGCAACACTTCATGCTTTTCTATCTTGGATACCTCTGGGTTATATTTTTGAATCTCCATTGGTGTGTTTTTCTGTCCCTTATTTTGTCCCGTAAACTAGAATTATTCTTATACATTTTGAAGACAAAGCTCATCATTTTGCTTTTCGTAATTTTGTCATATAGCTGGAGACACTGTTGAAATTTTTTCCGGTTCCTTCATATAGAAATCTTACTCTTCAGTGTTTAACAGAGGTAAATTTTTACTCATGTTTTGATGAGACTTCTATGCTAACCTATTGAACTTGCCATTTCAAGTCATTGTATCGAATGATTCTCTTGATTTTATTGGAAGATTTGTCCTATGTATCCTAATTTGCTTGAACTCTCCTATAGCTCTTATGCCCATACAATTTGACATCTATTTTATTATTTTTTTTTTTTGAAAAATTTGATTCCATTTGCAGGTTGCTGCGCTACAATTTGGTGAGTTTTATGACATTCAGTATGTCAAGATGTATACAATTTTCATGGTGCAGTTACAGGTGCGATAGTTGCACCATTTATATTTTTATCTTTGGCAAAATATTGGTTCCTTTGTCAATATTGTACATTTTACTTCCTCTTCTTTGCTGAAGTTATTTTTATTTTCAGGTTATTCTCCCACCGGGAACAAATATTCCAGAAGCTTATGCTAATGGTTCTAGTGAAGAGCAGGTGAAGCTTTATGGAATAAGTTTAAGTGCAACCTTTTCTCTTTCTGTTATATGAATTTTAACTTCCTATTCTTATTTTTGTCCTTGTGTCTTGTTTCCTTTTTGTAAATTTATATTGATATTTTCTACCCATTTCAGGCATTCATCCTAAACCTTGCGTTATTCTTCACTTCATTTTTCAAGGTAAATATATTCTTTCTGTTAATGTTTTGAGTAGTGCATATAACATATAATGTATGACATTGATTTTTGATGATCTATATTTGTTTGATTGAGTAAATGATCAAAATGTTCTTTAGAATTTTATACATTTTAATCCCAAATTTGTTCAGGTGTTCAAATTTGCCTTTCAACTCACCAAATTTGATTCAATTTTCCGCAAGATTTGTCATTTCTTTGTATTTAAATTATGCTGCAAAGATACAAATACAGACATGGACACAACACAAGATGGACGCAAGACACAATATATATATATATATGTATGTATGTTAAAAAAGATATTTAAAAACAAAATATTAAGAATTATACAATGAGAAAATAAGATATTTAAAAACACAAACTTTTTGAAACCAAGAGCTGGTTCAAGATACTTTTGTTTCCTTTTTTTAGTTGATATAATTTTTATATATTTTATTTTTAATCTTTAAAACAAATTAGATTGTATTTAAAAATAATTAAAATATATAAAAATAAGTATATATATTATTTTGTATTACATCAAGATTTATGTCTTCTTAATCAATTATTCATAAAAAAAAATGATAATTATCTTCTTTGGCACCAAATTCTTATGTATTTACATATTAACACTTAAATTTTGGTTTTTTATATGTCACCTTAATATGTCCTATCACATCTAATGTACCTCTATTTTCAATTTTAAAAATTAAAAATTTGGTGTTAGATATGTAAATTCATAAAAATTGATTGATGTGTTTAAATATTTCTTAAAATTTACATAAAAATACATTATTTTTAATTATAGTCAAAATATTGTTCAGAAAATTTTAAAAATAATTTAGTGCACGCATATCTTGCTTGCTTCTTGTACGTGTCCCCTTTTTTAATATTTTTTAAATTGGACATTTCTATGCTTCGTCTGACATGTGTTGAAGCCCTGTTCGTGTCCGACACTGCATGACTCCTTAATTAGAAGTGTGTGTATCATAGATAGAAAGTTGGAGAGAAGCTCTCCATGAGGGCATTTTAGTTTTTTTTTTACTATTATTCTCATTAATAGCTCTAACCCGAAAGCCTAAATTTTTTTTTTGAATAACTTCTTTTTGCTTGTTTTTATCCAAAGAAATGATAAAGTTGACCATAGAACTAATTTGGTTAATATTTCTTTGTTGAAGGATTAAATTGATTACGTAGAAAAGTCCGGATCTCAGATGGGGTCGCTTAAAAAGTATTGGGACTGTTTTGGGCATTTACTTAAATTAGTTTGAAAGAATGAAAATTTTAGAGATGTTATATTTAGTTCCTGCTTAATGCCTATCGTCCAGCCTTGCTTTTCTATAACATATCAAATTTGATTTTTCTCATTTCTGGAAGGAACACCTTTCTTATTTTTCCTTGCAGTCTCATATTCAAGTATTGGAAGCAGCTGATGAGAATAGGGCTGCTTTGCTATTGGGGCTTGAATATCTCATTGGAGTATCTTATGTTGATGAGACCGAAGTTTTCAAGGTAAATGATTGTTAGCATGCTTCATCCACATATATTTTTTGTAAATTTTTTCGCTGCCATCTTTCTATTGGCAGGTTTGCTTGGACTACTGGAATTTACTAGTCCTCAAGTTGTTTGAGGCTCACAATACGTTGGATAATCCTGCCCTTGCTGCAAGCATCTTTGGGCTTCAGGTATTAGCATGACATTTTTTTTTTCCCTATATTTATTTTTTCTCGAGTTACTTTATTGAACTTTTGTTTTCTTGAATATTTTTGTATTACTATCACTTTGTTTTTTTCAATCACAAGGACTACACACACACACACAGAGATATATATTATCTTGGAAACTGAAACGTTCTTTTTTCTCTTGTAAGGGTCAATTAATGTCATAAAATTCAAAATGTTATGATAAAAAAAAATTAACATGTGCTGTTGAAGTTATTGTTCTGAATCATTGATTTTAGTATTTGAGGATTTTACTTGGTTTTTTTTTCCTTTCCCCACACAATTTTTGCTTTTTTTGATGCTTGTCTTATTGCAGGGTAAACACTCTAAATTGAGTGCAACCTATTAAATTTTTAGAATTCTAATTTTTGAAATTGAGCTTTTTAACTTTCCATGTTGACACCAACTTTTTTCTCGTAGCTTTCCTTTCCATGTTGACACCAACTTTTTTCTCGTAGCTTTTGCTTGTGTGCATGAGAATTAGTATAGCTCTCTTGTGTGCATGAGAGTTAGTATAGCTCTCTTATTTCACCTCTGCAATCTTCCACCTTATAGTAAAGCTTTTTTGTTGTTTCTTTTTTTGGGCCATACTGCTTTTATCAAAGTAAAGAAAGCTTTTTGTGATAAACAGAAGGTAGTCATATTCATATATATTTAAAATTTCTCTCTTTTTTTCTAAATTCTCGAACTACTAACCATTGTATCGCTATAAGCCTCTATAGGTTCCTGGGATGGTTGATGGTCTTGGTTCACAAGTACTACTCCGCCGTCAACTTTATGCTGGTCCACTTTCAAAGTTGAGAATGCTTATGATTAGTCGAATGGCAAAGCCTGAAGAAGTTCTGATTGTTGAAGATGAAAATGGAAATATTGTCCGGGAAACAATGAAAGACAATGACGTTCTTGTCCAATATAAGGTTCAGCTTCTATCTCCTATGAAATTTAATTTAATTTTTTTTTTCAAATGATGTCCTGAGTATGTCACCCGTATACTAGATTTAAAATTTGAAGGTCTCCTAATTTTTCTTGTTTTATAATAGTTGATCTAATTTGTAAGTTTGCAACTGTATGTCTTTATTGTAGGATGACAATTTTGTATTTCCAATTGCTTTCTTATTGCTTTAGTTGACTGTGATGTCATGTAGAGTTTGCTTGAAGGTGATGACATAGTACATGAAAATCTGTCATTTATAATTTATTTGCCAATTCACACTCAAGCTACAATTTACATAATTACCCATTTTCTGTCTTTAAATTTCTTTCACCGAGATTCATTAGTTTTCAGATGATTGGTAATGTATAAATTGTTAAATCATTTGGTGGTTTCTTCAGAATGTTTAGTTATTTATTTTTCAGTGGTTTCTTCTATGTCTAGTTCCAAGTTCCCTATCCCTATCAACTCTAAATCTTAGATTTTTTAATTTTTTTTAGCGGCCTGCACTTTTTTTATTTTCATTCCTGTTGATATTAAAAACTCATATTTTTTAGTAAATTTTTACCAGTAACTGAATTTTTCAGATCATGAGAGAAACATTGATATACTTGACACACCTTGATCATGAGGACACTGAGCAACAGGTATTCTCTTTTTTATTATGGCAAAGCTTCTGAATTGCATCTTAAAATGGTAACTAGACCCTGTGTACTGTTTTTCTTTGGTTCTTCATGATTGCTTGTTGCTACTTAAAGAACATAAACCATCAGCACATAGTTTTAATCTTGAATGGCGCCAAACTCCTCAGTGGAGCATTTGATTACTGCCATTATCATTTCTAGTAAAATCACATCTGATATTTTTGTTTAGTAGCGTTTATTTGGATTCTCTCATATTCTATATTTTCTTCTCAGATATTTTTCTATGTTTTGTTAAAAAACTTAACTTGTCTTGGAAATTCTTCTTATGCCAATGTCATTTCCCGGTCTCCTTTCTGGTCTATTCATTGAAAGGACAGCCATCTATAGAATTAATGGATTTGGACTTGATGATACATTTTATTAGATTTGTTATATTATTTTTATTTTTGCTCTTACTTTGGTTATTCAATTTGTCTGAGTCGGGAGAATTTATGTCCCAATATAGACAATTTGAATCTGTAACGACTTGATGCTATATTAAGTTGGAGTTTTTTAATTATGAACCTGATAATATTCTTGGGCATAAATTAGGGCAAATAAAATATTTTTTTGCAAGATCTCCAAATAACACTCATATGCATAAAAGATAAGCACATACAATTCAAGAGTTAGGTGTTTTCTCCCAAATCCAACAATTCGAGAGTTAGGAAATCTCTCTCATACCCTAAGCCTCATGACACAATCTCATGCATAACCTTAACCTTAAATATATTGGCTTTATTTATACTAAACAATAATAAATGTAAAATGACTAAATTGTCCCTAGGCTAATAAAGTCTAAATTGCCTTTACATGCCGTCATAACATTACATTTGATAGATAAGTGCTCTCTCCCAAATTTTATAATTGGAAATGTAGGAAATCTCTCCAAAACCTTAATCCTAAGATTAAAGACACAATCTCATGCATAATCCTAATCCTAAACATAAGCTTTATTATATTAACAATAATAAATGACAAATGACTAAATTGATCTTAGGCTAATAAAGACTAAATTGCCTTTAGGTGCCGTTATAACATTATTCCCCTCCTAAAAAGACAGCTTGTCCTTAAAGTGGAAAAATTTTCAATTGATTTAGGTCATATGGCTCCCACTTGGCGTCATCATCTGAAATCCTATCCATTTAATTAGAACTCGTAGTGAACCTCTCTGTCTCAAAATGTCGTCTTGTGCACATCCTTTGGTCGCATTTGAATTTGATGGTATCTTGACTTCAATTCAATCTTGAAGAATAGGGTTGCCTCAAACAACTCATCCAGTAGCTTATCGGTACCTGGAATCTTTAGCAATTACGTATCATGTGTCTCTTATAATATGTAACTTGATCGAGAATCTCAATCTTATGTTCTGAATCTCCATCATAGTCTTTTCAATGTTTCTTTCTTGCACGACTTGGGGCCGCCGCTAATCATCACAATTTTTTGTCTCCTTCCTGAATACTTTGTATTGTCCAAATTAGTCGCTTACTTACTCATTCGCTCTTCTCCACATGTCTCGTTCCCATCATTACTTTTGAATCACCTTCCACTCAGAATGGTGCTCTCACAAAAGGCACTGGCATAGTCGGATGTAGCCTTCCGCCGGGGTACCAGTTCATAATTATTCAGATCTATCTTCTCCAGCACTGGATTGCACAATGTCTATTCTGTTTGTTGCCACCTATTCCAAACCTCATGATATGCAATTTTCTCCAGAGACTGCCGCTCAAATTCGCTCATGACTCCTTCGCCCGATTCTGCCTGTTTCTGCTTGGTCCAGTCGTTCGATTGTTGCACTATTTCTGTCAAATGCCGCCGCTAGAGTTTGCTTTTCATTCCTTCACTTGATACTTTAGCTCTTTGTCCTTCTAAAATAGCGAAACTGTTCTAATGTTGCGCAAATCATTCTAGTTACTGCTACGCGCTTCCGTTTTTGACAACGTAGCTCGATACTGCTTCGTGCTTGAAACTTCATGATCTTCTTGATCATTTATTCTAGGACCATGAATCAACCCTCAATGGGTGAAAATCACACCTCCATGGACAAAAAACACCCATCCATCTACGAGAAACCATTTTAGATTTTATTTGGTTGATCCCTTGTCGGCCGTTTTAATTTTCTTGTTTTGGAAAAAGAGATAATTTTTGTAAGCATGAAGATAGTTTTCACCCATCCATCTACGAGAAACCATTCTAGATTTTATTTGGTTGATCCCTTGTCGGCCGATTTAATTTTCTTGTTTTGCAAAAAGAGATAATTTTTGTAAGCATGAAGATAGTTTTAAATATAAATATGTGATTTTTATTTTTGAAAGTAATATTTTTAATTTTTGAAAAGAGATGAGACCAAACTAGTCTCATATATTAAATAGTTTGGATGACTGAGCGCAATGCCACAAGTAACATACTTATCCCGAAGAATAAACATATCACTTATAGTAGACTCAATCCCCTAAACCAACGACCCTAAACTAACGAATTTGTGACATCCGTTTGGTCTGTAAAATATTTTTATATGAGACTAACAAGTTCCCCTACCTAATATAAAAAATAGATAGAGTTTATTTTATCTGAGTTTCAAGTTCCCTATATGAGACTAACAAGTTCCCCTACCTAATATAAAAAATAGATAGAGTTTATTTTATCTGAGTTTCAAGTTCCCTATAGAGACAAAACCCTATAGTTAATTACATCTCAAATGATCAGGATCACTTAAGATAACTCTCGATTAATATCAGTGGTTTTGCATTTGAAATTTCAAAGTTTAGGTTTCCACGATTGGACATGAGAAAATTAAATGGGAATGATACAAATAGAAAAAAATTATTTTTAAGGAATTCAAAGGAATGAAGAGTTGGAGATATCACAGATTCAGGAAGAATAAATGGGAATGATACTAATAGAAAAAAATTATTTTTAAGGAATTCAAAGGAATGAAGAGTTGGAGATATCACAGATCCAGGAAGAACCCCGGTGATCTCCCAACTTTCCTATTGTTTATTTTATATCTTTGAAATGATGTTATTTAATGTTTAATCATGCAATTTATTTAGAATTTAAGACTTATATTCACACGATATTCGATCGTGCAAATGACCTAGAAAGATAGGAGGATTTACACCGTACCATACAGTAACCTTAGAATCTTAAAGTGTTAGGACTTATAATTGCACAACAAAGTATGTAAAAACCTAAAAGTGATATGTAAGGGTTTACGTTGCGTTAGACAAATCACCTCGAAATCTATGAGTTATTTAAACTAAGGAAAGTGCTTTCACCTTGAAATCTATGAGTTATTTAAACTAAGGAAAGTGCTTAGTGATATGAATTTGTTTTGACGTTGCTCTTCTAAATGTCCTCGTCGTGCTGCACACGGTATTCACTCCAAGCTCCTCGTCATAGCACCTGCAGATCTGATGTTAATTTTAAAGGTATATGCAATTGTTTAGTCAACGCTCTGCTGCCGGGTACCTCCTATAAAATCAACTACTGACCTCCTATTCTAGGGTATAGTGTGTAAAAGTAGCAAGTAGAAGTAGAGTAACATAATTTTTAAGAAATGAACTAGCATGAATTGCATTAACAAAAGAAATACCACATAGACAGCGCAAGAGCAGCAAATGACCCACGAGAAAGAAAATACGAGAAAATTGACAAATGACTCGGGATGGAAATCTGAATTAAAAAACGAAAAATAATAGCTCAAAGAAAGTCACCAAAAACACGGGAAAATCCCGTGTTAAAGACCGCGAGTGCTTTACCAAAAGTTTCGAAAAAATCTCACGAAAAATCCGAAGAAAGAAAACCTCAAGCACTCGGGTCGGGGCTAGGTTCAGATACTATATATTTGTACTCGAGGGACGTCGAAGACTACTATCGGTCGCCGAGATGTATAAAGCCGCCACTCAACTAGAAGGGTGTCCTACTAAAACTGACTTAGGAGGGTATTCCTTAGTCCGGTACTGGTAATCAACAAGTGGACAATCAAGTTATAATATATTTAAAATTTATATTTTAGCATGCACATGGATTTCAAACATACAAAAAGAAGTATCAATTTTATAATGAAAATATTTTTATAAATATTGTATCTGTTCTCATCATGTATGTTCTTATCAGTTTTTTGAAAAATTACGATTGTCCGTGAGTCGATCACGCCGTTGGGCGTAAGATCGCCAACAACCTAAGAAGGTATGGGTCGCCCGCTAGTCTTGTGTCGGGACGGCCCGACGTCGAGCGTCATCAAATCCTGATATCGTAGGATGAAATATCATTTTGCTCTACCACCGGCGTGTCTTTGACATCATCGCCCTAAGCCCCAAAACAAAACCGACTTACTTGCGACATTGCTTAATGATTTCATATATAGCAAAATGTTATATATGGGCACTTGCACTTATGTGTTAGACATAAACACTGAAAACCGAACTAAGAAGCAAGGAAAAAAAAAGAATAAAAATGGGGATGAGAGAGAGGAGAAACTGATCCACCCAAAAGATCGAAAGGATGAAGGGTGAAGCAACCTCAAAACTGTGATGAAAAGACCTGAAAAAGAGAACCCAAGATCCTTGAATCAATCCAAAAAGGATATCATTTTCTCAAATTTTATAATTGGATCAACCCAAGAACAACATCCCCTCCAAATTTTGTTTCAAACAGATCGAAACGGGCCCAAAACTAATGTGACAATTGTACCAATGGCTCTGTCACCTATATGTACTCACACACCCTAGCCTGAACCCATGTGTGGCATTTATGTTATCCAAGTTTTAATGTTGAACCTCCAAACTCTTTTTCAACAGACAATTTTACGAGTTTTTTAATCCTTTCACGAATCCAATTTATATCATCTTTATGTTTTCTCAAAATGAAGCCATAAGAGTCTTTCATATTTCACAAGGTAAAAGAGAATAATCCATAAAGGACAACTTTCTAAATCTCTAAAAACCATGCCAATATCAAAT